CAGAATGCACATTAGCCAGGCCTGGGTGCACACGGACCACAGCTCAGTACCTAAGACCCACGGACACCAGGAGTCCTGTCTGCCTCAGAGTCAAACTAGTTCCGGATGCCTCATCCTTTCTCCCCTGTGCAGCCAAAGACAGACCCCCATTCCAGCTAATACAGACAAACCAACTCAGGCTGCTTTATTTCTGCCACTCAGGTATTCACTCGGCAAACTCTCAAGAGCAGCGAGCCGTCCTCCTGCTCTCCTCTCGGCCATCTCACCTCTGTGTGCACTGCCTGGGGCCACAGCGGTGAACAGGATCCCATGTGTGCTTCCGGCGCAATGCACCTCCACAGCTGCCCACCCCAACTTTCGTTTTTTTTTGGAGAGGTATTTGCTATAGGGCGCGTGCACTCGCCAGACAGACAGAGAGAGACAGAAAGCGAGAAATCACCTCCCAGGGGGGATGGCCACGCCACAATCCCTTCTCCTCCATTCTCCTCTCAGGATCTTGGGCATGCACACACACACACCTGGTGTGAGTTTTAAGCCACTGGGTCCGGGATGCGAACCGCGGTTGACTACATGGGAGTCCTGCGACATAGCCATTACGCTAACTGCTGGTCACTCCCACCCCAACTTTCTGATGGGCTCTGAAGTCCGCCACTTCCAGGCCAAGAAGAAAAGCTGGCGTGGCTTTAGACAAAGCCAACTGACCTCAAACGCCTGAGACAGAAGCCTCCATAAGAACAACTCTGGTGCCCCCTCTACTCCTCTCCTGTGGAGGAACCCGCTGCTGGTGGGTGGGCCAGCCACGTTCAAAGTCCAGCTGAGGCTCTCTGCAGCTTTGGGGCAGGGATTGCTCCGTGAGGGACCCAAACAGGTCGCAGGAACCTGCCTCTGGCCCACGGGCTGCCTGGAGTCCCACGGCTTTATGCTTTCCTGTGCGCACAAACCGTCCCCAAGCCCTTTTATACTCTTGATGACAGTGGGGCCAAAGCCATGTGACAGGAACCGTTTCTGGACCCCCCTCGACACCTGTGCGGCCCCCACACCATTATGTTCACAATGCAGGGGACTCCTGGGAAAAGGCCATCTGCCCTCGCTGCACCTAACGTGCGC